TAACGAACGAGAACACTGCATGGGAGATTGATATCAAACAAGTTTGTAACAGATACGGCTTTCAAAGATTTGTCATCCAAAAATGACAAAAAATTCTATATTATTAATAACATTTTTAAAAAAAAAAATTGTAATGATTTTTAAGCTTTTACAATAATCATAATATTTGTTACACGCTCAAGTGGCATGCAGACTCCATTAATAGATATTAATAGAAAGATGGCACGCGTTCAGCTAAATATTCAACCACTCGGCGATTGATCCACGGCGGCATTGTTGATTTATTTACTCATCCCTTCGATCACTGAAAACCTACGTTAGTCACTTGGACCTAAAAATCACTTTTATTGTCCTCCAGATGAGGGTGTAGTTAGTCATTTTGATAATATATTGAACTCATGTTGACGACTGGAGGAAAATCCCACTGACCAGTTCGATAGTCTATAGTGACTGATTGATATTCATAATGAGTAGACTAGCAACTTAATATTGACTATATTATTGTCATTACGATAGAATCCCATAGTCAAAATGACTTTCATTTCATATCAGAATGACTTTCCATCAGTTATATCACTATGCATTTTGACGTTATTGAAAATCGTGGCGACGGTATGCAATTCAAATCATTTTGATTATCATTTATCACGCATCAATGCCCATCACATATAAATAAGGAGGGATGTACCACTTCAACATATCAATCTCAATAAAAAAAAATTATTGAGAAATATGAATTTTTTACATTCGTAATAATTCCATTTTGTTACTTAGATCTAATCGAATATGAAAACCGACAGTTGTTAATCGTCTTCAGTGCCATTTTCTGCGCCCCGGTGTTTCCATCGTCGCAAGCCACGGGTTTTGTGTCTATTCTATTTCCACAATAGAGGTTCCAGGAAGAGGACTTCGATAGAATGACCCTAGCTCTTCACAGCTTCAAGATACTTATGCATATATACCCGGAAATACTTTGCTAAGCATGTCCCCCCCATTTTCCCATGAATTAATAGATGCACACCTATAAAAATAAATACAGATGAAATTATCAGGCTCACTATTATGCTTCAGAAATAACAAGCCCTTCAGTTATCTGTGATGCTTATTTTCTATATGTTCGCGACAAGGCGACATCATTAATTCCGCGTCCATTTCTACCCGTTTGTAAAATCTTAACTGATTTTTAAAATAAATCTGCATGCAGGCTATCTGCGAAACTGTTGCAATTTACATTAAAATCAAAATATTTTCATTTCTAATTTATTTTTTCTATCTGATAACTCTTTGAAAATTGTCGGAGTTTATTTCTTGATGATTCTGCCGGAATGTAAATTAGGCAGGTCGATAGGTCAGCAGCTAAGGAGGCCTAATACGCATGCAAATCTCGTGCGCATCTGTCTCTGTATCGGACGCTAAAAAAGCCAAATATGCATGTAAATCTCGTGCGGCTGCTTTTGTGTTTGACGTCATTGTGCGAGGACTATTGAAATTGGCATGGAAGTCCTCGTGTAATCTAAATATATTAGTGTACAGTTTTAATGTCTAAGTCTATAATTTTATTTCATAATGAAATGGAAATATAAGCAATCACTGTCTAGTTATGAGAGTATGCCAGGGACATTAACAATAGTGGGAAACATGGGATAATTTTAGCAATACGGGCTTCGCCCGTTATGCAAATTATCCCATGTTTCCCACTATTGTTGATACCCTGGCAACTCTCAAAACTAGACAGTGATTCCTTAATAAACTTCCAAATCAGGAGGTGAAACACACATGACACTGCTGTTCAGAGTATGAGATGCTGATTTTGATTGAATCGTGTCAAAATCATTTAAATAGAGAACTCTACAGCTTCTCTATGGTTGATGCAAATCTGGGGGCGCACTCATCTACCCCCAAAGAGAGTGTTGCACTTCCAATGTCATACTTCCCTAAAGCTGTAGCAGTTAAAAATATAATTAAAAGAAAATAACGTAAGTTCTCCCCTAAAAATTTTTACTGCACAATTAAGAAATGTATTTGGGTACTCAATACCGGTTTTTATTTTGTCATGAAGCGAAACGTAAATTTACCACACAGAAAAATGTTCCAGTTTTTGTGCTTTTTATAAGAGGATGCATTGTTTTGAAAACTGCCTCTTTGAAACAAAAATTATTTGATGTTAAGCATTGGAGACATGGATTTTCTTTAAAACTGCAATTTCCATTTTTGTTTCAAAGAAGCTCACTAAAAAAGACAAAAAACTTTCAATACCTCAGGAATTTAAAAACTGCGTGTATATTGTTGGCTCAAAGTAGGTCGATTGGAAAAAGCGATACCCCACGTATATATAATGTCTTTTTTGGCAAAGGTTTTAATCCTTCAATGGGTGATTTATTATTTGATTAAATACGATTTTACATGTAAATAAGATGCATAGAAACTTAAAAAGCAGACCATTCTTCAGAAGCTACATGTATTTTGTCAATACCCATTACATAAAAATTGTAACTTTCCTTGAATCTGTGCAAAGCGAAGAAGAGTATGGAACGCCAAAGTTTTATGCTGTTTATGCCGTTTTTGGAGACACTAGGTTCTAAGTTTTACAGTGTAATAAGAGTGTTGAATTGAGGGAGTGTATATGTATTTCAGGTGTTATATTGATAGTGTGTATGTAAAATGTTCAGTTGAATGGGTGTAAAAGACGTGTTCATTTGGAGTGTAACTCTGGTGTTCATTTAGCAGGTGCAGAGTCAAGTTAAAAAAGAGCAATTGCTTCAAAGAATACAATCTTTAAACTTTAAAGATACGTATGGTGTTTTTGATGTTCTAATCAAAAAGACTTTGGGTTGGCTTATGGCAAGGCGAGCACGTGTTATTTTGGCTGTTTGAATACATCCATACGTGTTTACTGTTTGACGTAAACCAGTGAAATATTTCTGCTTCAAGTGGTAGACCACATGTATATTATATGCCCTAATTTTGTTTGCTGTGTGTAAATAATTTTGATATATCACATGTATCAAAAGGTGTAAATAACTTTCAAAAAGTTGGGATGACAGCCACGTCAAAAGGACGCCATCTTGGCGGATCAACGAATTTGTTTCCAGACATAAAATACTGTCGCGAGAATACTTTGTGTGTAAAAGTAAAGGACTGCTCTTCATTTAAACCTGAAGAAATTATCCAGTATATCCATTCCAATTGCAGTATTGGTAGTCTATTAGCATACGTTCCAAAATCTGGAATTTTTTACGTGATAACATTGTATGGGAGAGTCCCTTTGCAGTATACATGTACCTACTTGAAAGGATAAAAATCTGCCAAAACACATTCGAATGTCATGAGGTAGTACAAAGTTCATATGTTCAAATCCCTCAATGGGTGATTTTTTTTTATTTAATACGATTTTAAATTAGATGTATAGAAACTTTAAAGACAGAAAGACCATTCTTCAGAAGCTACATGTATTTTGTCAATACCCATTACATAAAAATTGTAACTTTCCTTAAATCTGTGCAAAGCGAAGAAGAGTATGGAACGCCAAAGTTTTATGCTGTTTATGCCGTTTTTGGAGACACTAGGTTCTAAGTTTTACAGTGTAATAAGAGTGTTGAATTGAGGGAGTGTATATGTATTTCAGGTGTTATATTGATAGTGTGTATGTAAAATGTTCAGTTGAATGGGTGTAAAAGACGTGTTCATTTGGAGTGTAACTCTGGTGTTCATTTAGCAGGTGCAGAGTCAAGTTAAAAAAGAGCAATTGCTTCAAAGAATACATTCAGTCTTTAAACTTTGAAGATACGTATGGTGTTTTTGATTTTCTTAACAAAGGACTTTTGGTTGGCTTATGGCAAGGCGAGCACGTGTTATTTTGGCTGTTTGAATACATCCATACGTGTTTACTGTATGAAGTAAACCAGTGAAATATTTCTGCTTCAAGTGGTAGACCACATGTATATTATATGCCTTAATTTGGTTTGCTATGTGTATATAATTTTGATATATAAGGTGTAAATAACTTTCAAAAAAGTTGGAATGGCTGCCACGACAAGTGGTCGCCATCTTGGCGGATCAACGAATTTGTTTCCAGACAGAAAATAATCTCGCGAGAATACTTTGTGTGTAAAAGTAAAGGACAACTCTTCATTTAAACCTGAAGAAATTAACCAGTATATCCATTCTAGTTGCAGTATTGGTAGTCTATTGGCATACGTTCCAAAGTCTGGAATTTTTTACGTGATAACATTGTATATGGGAAAGCCCCTTTGCAGTATACGTGATTCTACTTGAAAGGATAAAAATCTGCCAAAACACATTCGAATGTCATGAGGTAGTACAAATTTCATATGCTCAAATCCGTCAATGGGTGATTTTTTTTATTTAATACGATTTTAAATTAGATGTATAGAAACTTTAAAGACAGAAAGACCATTCTTCAGAAACTACATGTATTTTGTCAATACCCATTACATAAAAATTGTAACTTTCCTTGAATCTGTGCAAAGCGAAGAAGAGTATGGAACGCCAAAGTTTTATGCTGTTTATGTCGTTTTTGGAGACACTAGGTTCTAAGTTTTACAGTGTAATAAGAGTGTTGAATTGAGGGAGTACATATGTATTTCAGGTGTTATATTGATAGTGTGTATGTAAAATGTTCAGTAGAATGGGTGTAAAAGACGTGTTCATTTGGAGTGTAACTCTGGTGTTCATTTAGCAGGTGCAGAGTCAAGTTAAAAAAGAGCAATTGCTTCAAAGAATACAATCTTTAAACTTTAAAGATACGTATGGTGTTTTTGATTTTCTTAACAAAGGACTTTGGGTTGGCTTATGGCAAGGCGAGCACGTGTTATTTTGGCTGTTTGAATACATCCATACGTGTTTACTGTATGACGTAAACCAGTGAAATATTTCTGCTTCAAGTGGTAGACCACATGTATATTATATGCCCTAATTTTGTTTGCTATGTGTATATAATTTTGATATATAAGGTGTAAATAACTTTCAAAAAAGTTGGAATGGCTGCCACGACAAGTGGTCGCCATCTTGGCGGATCAACAAATTTGTTTCCAGACAGAAAATACTGTCGCGAGAATACCTTGTGTGTAAAAGTAAAGGACAACTCTTCATTTAAACCTGAAGAAATTAACCAGTATATCCATTCCAGTTGCAGTATTGGTAGTCTATTGGCATCCGTTCCAAAGTCTGGAATTTTTTACGTATGATAACATTGTATATGGGAAAGCCCCTTTGCAGTATACATGATTCTCCTTGAAAGGATAAAAATCTGCCAAAACACATTCGAATGTCATGAGGTAGTACAAAGTTCATATGTTCAAATCCCTCAATGGGTGATTTTTTTTATTTAATACGATTTTAAATTAGATGTATAGAAACTTTAAAGACAGAAAGACCATTCTTCAGAAGCTACATGTATTTTGTCAATACCCATTACATAAAAATTGTAACTTTCCTTGAATCTGTGCAAAGCGAAGAAGAGTATGGAACGCCAAAGTTTTATGCTGTTTATGCCGTTTTTGGAGACACTAGGTTCTAATTTTTACAGTGTAATAAGAGTGTTGAATTGAAGGAGTGTATATGTATTTCAGGTGTTATATTGATAGTGTGTATGTAAAATGTTCAGTTGAATGGGTGTAAAAGACGTGTTCATTTGGAGTGTAACTCTGGTGTTCATTTATCAGGTGCAGAGTCAAGTTAAAAAAGAGCAATTGCTTCAAAGAATACAATCTTTCAACTTTAAAGATACGTATGGTGTTTTTGATTTTCTTAACAAAGGACTTTGGGTTGGCTTATGGCAAGGCGAGCACGTGTTATTTTGGCTGTTTGAATACATCCATACGTGTTTAATGTATGACGTAAACCAGTAAAATATTTCTGCTTCAAGTGGTAGACCACATGTATATTATATGCCTTAATTTGGTTTGCTATGTGTATATAATTTTGATATATAAGGTGTAAATAACTTTCAAAAAAGTTGGAATGGCTGCCACGACAAGTGGTCGCCATCTTGGCAGATCAACGAATTTGTTTCCAGACATAAAATACTGTCACGAGAATACTTTGTGTGTAAAAGTAAAGGACTGCTCTTCATTTATACCTGAAGAAATTAACCAGTATATCCATTCTAGTTGCAGTATTGGTAGTCTATTGGCATACGTTCCAAAGTCTGGAATTTTTTACATGATAACATTGTATATGGGAAAGTCCCTTTGCAGTATACATGATTCTCCTTGAAAGGATAAAAATCTGCCAAAACACATTCGAATGTCATGAGGTAGTACAAAGTTCATATGTTCAAATCCCTCAATGGGTGATTTTTTTTTATTTAATACGATTTTAAATTAGATGTATAGAAACTTTAAAGACAGAAAGACCATTCTTCAGAAACTACATGTATTTTGTCAATACCCATTACATAAAAATTGTAACTTTCCTTGAATCTGTGCAAAGCGAAGAAGAGTATGGAACGCCAAAGTTTTATGCTGTTTATGTCGTTTTTGGAGACACTAGGTTCTAAGTTTTACAGTGTAATAAGAGTGTTGAATTGAGGGAGTACATATGTATTTCAGGTGTTATATTGATAGTGTGTATGTAAAATGTTCAGTAGAATGGGTGTAAAAGACGTGTTCATTTGGAGTGTAACTCTGGTGTTCATTTAGCAGGTGCAGAGTCAAGTTAAAAAAGAGCAATTGCTTCAAAGAATACAATCTTTAAACTTTAAAGATACGTATGGTGTTTTTGATTTTCTTAACAAAGGACTTTGGGTTGGCTTATGGCAAGGCGAGCACGTGTTATTTTGGCTGTTTGAATACATCCATACGTGTTTACTGTATGACGTAAACCAGTGAAATATTTCTGCTTCAAGTGGTAGACCACATGTATATTATATGCCCTAATTTTGTTTGCTATGTGTATATAATTTTGATATATAAGGTGTAAATAACTTTCAAAAAAGTTGGAATGGCTGCCACGACAAGTGGTCGCCATCTTGGCGGATCAACAAATTTGTTTCCAGACAGAAAATACTGTCGCGAGAATACCTTGTGTGTAAAAGTAAAGGACAACTCTTCATTTAAACCTGAAGAAATTAACCAGTATATCCATTCCAGTTGCAGTATTGGTAGTCTATTGGCATCCGTTCCAAAGTCTGGAATTTTTTACGTGATAACATTGTATATGGGAAAGCCCCTTTGCAGTATACATGATTCTCCTTGAAAGGATAAAAATCTGCCAAAACACATTCGAATGTCATGAGGTAGTACAAAGTTCATATGTTCAAATCCCTCAATGGGTGATTTTTTTTATTTAATACGATTTTAAATTAGATGTATAGAAACTTTAAAGACAGAAAGACCATTCTTCAGAAGCTACATGTATTTTGTCAATACCCATTACATAAAAATTGTAACTTTCCTTGAATCTGTGCAAAGCGAAGAAGAGTATGGAACGCCAAAGTTTTATGCTGTTTATGCCGTTTTTGGAGACACTAGGTTCTAATTTTTACAGTGTAATAAGAGTGTTGAATTGAAGGAGTGTATATGTATTTCAGGTGTTATATTGATAGTGTGTATGTAAAATGTTCAGTTGAATGGGTGTAAAAGACGTGTTCATTTGGAGTGTAACTCTGGTGTTCATTTATCAGGTGCAGAGTCAAGTTAAAAAAGAGCAATTGCTTCAAAGAATACAATCTTTCAACTTTAAAGATACGTATGGTGTTTTTGATTTTCTTAACAAAGGACTTTGGGTTGGCTTATGGCAAGGCGAGCACGTGTTATTTTGGCTGTTTGAATACATCCATACGTGTTTAATGTATGACGTAAACCAGTAAAATATTTCTGCTTCAAGTGGTAGACCACATGTATATTATATGCCTTAATTTGGTTTGCTATGTGTATATAATTTTGATATATAAGGTGTAAATAACTTTCCAAAAAGTTGGAATGGCTGCCACGACAAGTGGTCGCCATCTTGGCAGATCAACGAATTTGTTTCCAGACATAAAATACTGTCACGAGAATACTTTGTGTGTAAAAGTAAAGGACTGCTCTTCATTTATACCTGAAGAAATTAACCAGTATATCCATTCTAGTTGCAGTATTGGTAGTCTATTGGCATACGTTCCAAAGTCTGGAATTTTTTACATGATAACATTGTATATGGGAAAGTCCCTTTGCAGTATACATGATTCTCCTTGAAAGGATAAAAATCTGCCAAAACACATTCGAATGTCATGAGGTAGTACAAAGTTCATATGTTCAAATCCCTCAATGGGTGATTTTTTTTTATTTAATACGATTTTAAATTAGATGTATAGAAACTTTAAAGACAGAAAGACCATTCTTCAGAAACTACATGTATTTTGTCAATACCCATTACATAAAAATTGTAACTTTCCTTGAATCTGTGCAAAGCGAAGAAGAGTATGGAACGCCAAAGTTTTATGCTGTTTATGCCGTTTTTGGAGACACTAGGTTCTAAGTTTTACAGTGTAATAAGAGTGTTGAATTGAGGGAGTGTATATGTATTTCAGATGTTATATTGATAGTGTGTATGTAAAATGTTCAGTTGAATGGGTGTAAAAGACGTGTTCATTTGGAGTGTAACTCTGGTGCTCATTTAGCAGGTGCAGAGTTAAAGTTAAAAAAAGAGCAATTGCATCCAATAACTACAATCTTAAAACTTAAATAATACGTTTGATGTTTTTCTTTTCTGAATAGCGTTGGTATTAAGGCTAGTGTCCATTTGCAGGGTGGGGAGTTCAGATGTTGAATTGGCACCTCTTACACGTAAGGGTGTGTGTGTGTGTGTGTGTGTGTGTGTGTGTGTGTGTGTGTGTGTGTGTGTGTGTGTGTGTGTGTGTGTGTGTGTGTGTGTGTGTGAGAGAGAGGGTGTGTGTGTGTGTGTGTGTGTGAGGGTGTGTGTGTGTGTGTGTGTGTGTGTGTGTTTAAATAATGTACTTTATAATTTGTGTTTATTGGAAAATTTGAGACTTTTTGTATTTTCCAACATCCGATTATGTGAATGTTTTATTCTGACTTTCTAGAATTACTACAACTTAATATGATCTTTCATAGTTTCAATTTCCTACGGCGCCGCTGTAGAGTCAGTTAAAAAAATAAAAAAATAATTTTATTTGTTTAGACGAATTAGAGAATTCTTTCGGACAAAATAGTTAGTACATGTAATTTAATTTGTATTTGTTTTAGATAAAATATAGATAAATGAAACTTTCTTAATTGACCACTTACCCATGTGCTTATAATTCCTCGAAGTTTGATTTCCTCTCAACAATTTTCGTGTTTCATCCACATTTTGGAAATATAGAGATGTTAAAATTTTCAAGATAATCTACCTGAAAGGGATTGAAAAATACGAGGTATGATTAACCCCACGTTTTGTCCATCATTTGATACATAAATAAAAACATACTATCAATTGTTTAAGCTAGTAACAAACGCTGATTATTTGAAATTAAAGACTTATTTCGATTAAAAGCGTATACAGTAAAACTCGTTTAGTACGAACACGGATATTGCCAATTCACGGATATAGCGAAGTCATCTTTGATCCCCAAGTATATAAATTTAATGAATTTCTAATACGGTTATAACGAATTACATATATAGCGAAATAATTTTATAAGTCCCAGCGACTTCGTTATAACCGAGTTTTGCTATACACGGAAACTACAAGAAGGATAAAAAATGACCTTTCATCTTTCTGCAATTCTGAATTGAATTTTTCTTTGGTATACATTTCACTTTGAGAATTACAAAACACGCTTGCTTTTTTGAGATTTTTATGAATTAAATGCATACTTGGGCTTAAACTCAGTTTAAATACAAAATGTACCTTTTGCTGTGTTTCGTAATTAATGAAAAATTAATGAACGCGAGTTCTTTCAGAAACTGATATAAATTGTGATCGTCCTTTGATATTTGTGCATGCAGGTAAAACTAATACTCATTTTGCAACAGGGAAAACTGAGGGTTTTGGATTAATGAACTATTTTATCGCTCTTTGAGACATCATGTTAGAGAATTCTTAAATAATTTTCGCCGTCCATCTCAAGATGCAATTATTTTCCTTTCTTAAAAAGTTTATATACATGTTCATTTAAATTATACTATATTATCTTTAATATTAAAATTATACTATATTATCTTTAATATTAAAATGAAATATATATTTTGTTTCTCAGTAATTTGAAGTCTGAGAAATCAAAGAAATTTTGAAATATTATTTTAAAATGAAACATATGTAGACTTATCGGAGACTTATCAGAAATAAAGATGTTAATTATAATGTTGAAGCAAGCGAATCATTAACTATTTCTAGCTAGCTACTTATGCTGTTGGATATTTTACATTCATATGTGCCTCTGCTTTCCAAGGACTTTCATGATCCTAGATCATGTACAAATCAATACCTTCTCACAGTCCCAATATATATACTGTATGTTTAAGTAGGTAATTTTATATATAACTTCTTTCGTTTGAGGAACAAATAAGACAGAAATCATTTTCTACTTGGTATGATAGTGAAAAACTTTTTTTCGGAAATACAAGGTTTTCACTCGAATACATGGTGAATATCAAGTGTTTTTTTTTAAATCGGTCTCTTTAGCAAGGCTATAGAAGAGGTGAATAGTGGTTAAAAGCTGAACACGATTCGTAAAAGGAATGTGTCCGCCATTTTTGCTCCCAATTCTCGCCACTCTGCAGACCCGAATATAAAGGCCAGGACTTTGTCACTGTTCAGTGTAATCAGTCGACACCGTGTAGACGGACGTATGCTATATAGGACTCTGTAGCGAGATATAATAACGTAATACTTCGTCTAATGCAGGAAAGTAAGATACCAAATAAACTTACTATTATAGCTGTACAGGTCAGTGCAGTATACAAACAACACAGATACACATAACAGCAATAAAATGTAAACAAAGGTAATGCAAGATTACCAGCACGAACACGGATCGCTATTCTACGCCAATACGCGTGACAATAAAGCAGTTAGGTGTAACGAATGCGACAAGTATATCCTAGAGTTGAAATATCGTAGCGAATGAGATCGAAAATCGCGTATGCCTATTTACGAGTCGTGTTCAGCTTTAACATTACGAATTAAAATGGATATAAAATTGCTTATTAACGTAATTATCTTTCTTCATAACATTTTACTGTATAAACCTATGATTATGTCATCAGTATTGTATGTAAACAAACTTTATGATAAACGTGATGACTTAAACTCATCAAACGTCAACTTCCCTTACTTATGCAACAATTTACTTTGTCGCCTGCATACACAGTTTATATCTCACTTGATTCGATATGGAAGAGCATGCTCTAAATATGAATAATTTCTAAAACGAGGTAAGTTATTGGCAAGCAAGTTGATTAAGCAAGAATATCAGCTGTTTCATTTAAAGTCATCATTTTGTTGATTTTATGGTCGATACAAAGACATCGTCATTAAATACAATTTATTATTAAGTCAAATGCTGACTGACTTTTATCATATTGATTAATGGACCATTTTTTACATTCAGGATTTTTTTTCTTTTTTCCCCGAACATAACAAGGAGCTTACCGTCGGTGTAACAGGTCAGCAGGGGATGCTCACCCTTCCATGGCACCTTATCCCACCCCTGATGTTTTGGGGGTCCGTGTTTGCTCCGCTCCTATTTTGTATTGTTTAATCACAGGCACAACACGTTACTTATTTTTCATATACCACAACCTATAATTTTTTATATAAAGAGAAAATAATTATTGTCAAGTGCCTGTGTTTAGCCAATTAATATGTTCAATAATAATTGTATCACTTATGTTTTGATGTTTATATAACTATACATTTCAATCTAAATCAATTATGTTAATGTATTGCTGTTTCAGGTTGATTACAGAGATAAGAAATGTGGAAAAACCTCATGCAATTACGATTCTAAATGTGTTCGCATAAAATCAGACACATATGTCTGCATCAAAGTAGCAGGTATACATATTTGAGAGATAATGCAATTGTTTCATAGACAAATAATTTCTAGCTTTGATTGGCCTAGCTGTCTTAACAATATTAAAATAAAGAGGGAACTTTATAAATTACAATCTATAAGATACATATCAGGTGTATAGTTTTTTATTTTTGTATTTTATTCGAAACATACACAGAACTCTGTCTTTGTTTATTAATTTGTTTGTTTATTTTTGGTTTTTTGTTTGTTTGGTTGTTGTTGTTGTTGTTTTGTATATTTTTGTTATAATGTGTAAAACACTTTCTTTAATTCATAGTTCATGGGGGATGGAGTGGTTGGGACCCTTGGGGAGGGTGTTCTGTTACATGTGGGGGTGGTACTAGAACACGTACACGCTCTTGTGACAATCCCTCGCCGAGGTTTGGAGGTCAACCATGCAGTGGAGAATCCTCAGAATCGTCACTATGTAACACTCATAACTGCCCCGGTATGTTTCATGTCAAAAACTATTCATGTAATTGTTGATTTATGCAGTCTTGATTTTTACGTTCCTTATGCAAACATGAGGAAAATGAAATATTATTTCATTATTTTAGAATTATACAAAAACATTCTCGTTAATTTTGAACAAATTAATATAAAACTTTTAATATTCATATCTATAGTAATTCTAAGGGATAATTCATTAAAAGAAACGTTATTTCATATTTTAGCAGTTAAAAAAAGCTGTTTCGATTTATAGTTCATGGGATGTGGAGCGGATGGTCCATATGGGGAAGTTGCTCTGTTACCTGCGGGGGTGGGCAAATGTCAAGATCACGTACCTGTGATAACCCAACACCTATGTATGGAGGTCAAGCCTGCAGTGGACAATCAACAGAAAGTTCCTCATGCAATACACTCAACTGTCCAAGTATTTTTTTTATATAAGTTAAGATGAAGGTGCATGATTAAAATTGGTGAATACAATAAAAAAAAAACTCTTTAAAAATAATCAGTTCACGCAAAAAATACATTTACAGGAAGTCTCAATATTTGTGTCTTGCGAAAAAGACGCATGAACAAAATTTTTGTAAATATGAAGTAAATTTTATACAGTTAATGAGTTTTATAAATCAATTAAACAAAAGAATGTGATGCAGTTCATATAAGTCTTAAATATATTTTTATTTCAGTTGATGGAGGATGGGGGATGTGGGGAGACTGGGGTCAATGTACTGCGACATGCTCACAAGAAGTACGTTATCGAAATCGTTACTGCAATAATCCCAGTCCACAATACAACGGGAATTATTGTGCAGGGTACTCCAGTGAAACTTCATATTGTAACACTTGCAACGGTATGCATAGATTTAGGGAATAACTATCTTTGTATTAGGAATTACTCACCTTTTGTTTTGATTAAACAGTCACAAACTAATTGTTAAATTCAACACGTAACATTTTGTAAAAATTCAATTTAATTTCAATCAACTGCTATTCATGCAATTCTGCCCACAGAATAAGGTTCCAATCAATATAAATCGATACTTGTAAAGCTACACTTAGTATGAAACATATCGAGATAACGAAAAGTATTTTTAGCCCAAAGGTCCACGAAACAATTTTATACAAATTGGAAGTAATTGAACCTCTTTATTAGTTAAAAAAATTTTATAATCACATGATGCTGAAATTGTAAGATATCTTACACTTGAAAAGAAGAAATATTTGTTGTTGGCCTGTGGCCTTCAACTCGACATTAAGATATATCAAAAACATATTGACAATTAACAATGGCTATTTCGAATATATATGTCAGAAAAAATATTTTTCCATTATTAGGCCCTATCAATGATAAAAGCTCACGACGGGTTTGTTATTGAAATACTTTACAAGTGCATATGTTACCAAATATGAAGTTTCTCTTTCATGGTTCAAAATATGGTTAGGTTATTTTTAGAGAGAATGAAATAAAAAGGTTTTGTAGAACATTTCTGGAGCCTGTTACATGCTGATTTTATGACGTTTCGGATTCCATCTAATATATATGTAAATTCAAATTCATTTTGGTCGTAGGGAATATAAAAAAATATTCAAACTGACATATGACATTTGAGCCATAATCCCAAAAATCAATAAATTAGTTTTGTCATCAAATACGTAGAATTTTAAATCTCATTTTGGATATCTCATATAATGTTTTTATGTTTATTTCTCTAACAATACAATTTAAATAATTCTCTTTTATTTGAAAATAGATATCATACCTTCCATTTATATGAGTATTTTCTATTGATTGAAGCAAACCGGTGGAGGAAAATTTGACATATTAGTTAGGCATTATTTATATATACAACTACTGAAAGTCCGATGGCTACTGAAATTTGGGAGGGGGCGTCAATAGCAGACGCAAAAAGCTTACAGAGAAATGTAAAGTGAAATTGATAGAATGAAGGGAGGGCGTTTTTACAACGTAAATGCATATTAAAAACTCTTTAGTCTATGCATGAAACATACATGTTTCTGATATTTTATAAAGAATTTTCCGTATTCATTCATATCTAATCAAGTGTCTTAAGCAACAACAACGGTAGAGGCAATTCAAATAGTACGAGGGGTGATCAAAAAGTTCGCAAACTATCTCTATATCTACAAAACCACAATTCAGATTCGAATGAAATTCGGTACACATATAGCCATACACAAGATCTATAAATAGCATATGCTGAATAAAGTTTCTCTCCTTGTTTGTGACGTCACAATGTGAAAATGACACTATCATTATGGTTGACACAAAACCGTTCAAAAACACAACAATATTATTGTAATATTTTAGAAAACCCTCTACAATATCATTTAATAATTTGTACACAGTTTATTGAGATAAATGAGTTCCTATAAATTCAATTAATGATTGGATTAACCGTTTTAGTGAAGGAGGCTGATGGTTAAAAATGATACCTGTCATCTTGCCCAGTGAAAGCAAGTTTGAAAAGATATGTATTTTTAATTAAACAATTTGCTATCAAAGACCTCCAATTAGCACTTTGAAAAATATTTGAATATTTGAACAATATATAAGTATTAAATACCTAAGATACGTTTACTTTAGATTTTAAACATATTAGATATGATAAAAAGGATGCATATTCTCAATCCACCTTGAATAAAGGTCTCTCCTGAGACAGAAGATTTCTGTTTTAATGGTCGCCATGCTTATTTTTGGAAAGGATGTTATTATCCACCCATTCTTTGCCGAGATATGACCATTTCTGACAAATTAACTGTTCTTGTCATAAAAATTAACTCACATGGAAAGAAATATAAAACTCGGAAAAATCTTTTAACTTTTGTGACAGAACGCTACGGAGGGGGCCCCGTGACCGCCAATATCACCTGATTCGCGCATGCGCAGAACGGTGGTTTATGTGCATTAAAATCGGGGAGGATTAATTTAAAATATAATCAACATTAAAACCAAATATTGTTTCTTGTATGGAAGTTATTCAATTAGTTTGCGAACTTTTTGATCACCCCTCATATGTGATATTAATTCAGTACATTTCTTATAAATTTCCTTTGATTACGTTCAGCCATAAGGATCATCAGTGGCACATCAAAAAACAATGGAAGAGTTGAAATATTGTACAATGGGGTCTGGGGAACCGTATGTGATGATGGATGGGATGATAACGACGCAGCTGTTGTTTGCCGAATGCTAGGATTCTATGGGTAAGGCCATTCCAAGTCTTTTCAATGTTTAGCGTCCGCGTGCACCTTTGTTTTTTGACATCCCATGTCAGTAAAAAACAAAACAGAATCAGGAGTCAAAATTGATTGTTTTGGTCACATTTTGTTCTTCCTGCCAATGTCTTATTTTCTATTTGTATAACATGTCTTATTTGGTATATTTTAAGTATATATATTACTTTGTTGTTGGTAATGAAAACAACTCACTACGTGCAAAATAGAAAAATAAGATCTTACCCATTGATTTACGTTAAAATTTCTCCTAAAGAGTAAGGGTATGTGTGCGTAGATGGGAGTTTTTTTGCCTTGTGTGATTTTTGCAAATATGTAGATTGAATTTTTCAATGAGCGGAAGCTAAACAGAAAAAAATTTCCTAAAATGGAAGAATTAATTTGTTAGATTACATTCTTTTAATTGTGGTGGCATATTTCTTTCCCACTTGTCAGATATCTATGTCAACAATTATTATTAACTTTTTGTCTCATAAATAAACTCGTTGTATCCTTGTGAACCCTAAATGTGCTTGGTAAAAGTTTTACTAGTTATTTGGTACAAAATATTTTACATTAATTTCAACTTACCGACAAATCTAGGGGTATTTTCCGCTGAATATCGTCATCTGTTTTAAAACAAAACCACCATACAGTTTTCCCAAGCAGGATTCAGTTAGAGGGGAAACTCCTCTTACATATTTCCACAAAAGATATTAAATAAATCCTCATTTATAACCTGCGCCAGGCTCATTTATACACATATTATGAATTTTGCCTCTGTCCACAGGTATAAAAAAGGTAAATGTCAAACGTATATTTTCGTAGGTAGTTTGAACACGCTGACTCTTAAACAAGGGTAATAAGTAGTATCTAATTATTCGGATATATTATATTTTTTATATAAGTGATTAAAATACGTTTATTTTAAACTAGCATTCTGCATCTTTATATGCAGATTGAAATAAGGTGTAAAGTTTATGACACTTTCTCCATCATTACAGCTCAAGTATGCAGTGACTTGACGTCATTTTCAATTATGACGTCATACATTTGAAGTTCAGAGAAGTGCTTGCACAGAGTACACTACAATTTTCTCTGGGAAGCCTTATCGTACCTGCGTTGCAATATATTTATTACAATTAATTTTCATTATATAATATGTCGAATTTTCAGATAGATATTATCACGACAATAAACTCGGTATCTTTTTTTAGAGCATGTTAAAGACACACAAATGACATCTACTTGTCATCTCAATATTTGACATGTCGAAAAAACTTTCTGACAAATACATACATGTATTTTTTGATAAGTCGACATCATTTTCTGACAAGTGGACTTGTCCAATTGTCCAATGTTATGGCAAGTTTTCAGTTAATGTTGAAGATTTGCGCAATGTAACGTCGATTAGTCATTTTATTATATAGTCTATTTATATTCCCTATATTCTTTACAAGCGCAATCACCTCGTTACACTACATATTCACTGGATTTGAGGCCGTATTCACCAGAGGGTCATTGAGCGTGCAGCTGCATTGTGACATCACAATCAATACCTCAAACTGTAAACAATGGTTGCAACGGCCAAAACGACCTGCGTATCTGAGCAGGGAAAATATACAAACCTACTGCAAACTTTATTTTAATCATTTGGACGTTTTACACGTAGCGAAACTCGGAAAGGAAAACACGGAGAGGACAAACTGTAATCTGGACTTTTTTTTCAAGGACAGAATTTCGTAAATGAAAATTGTGTCGTCAATCAGCCTTCAATGTCTTATTTATTCAAATTCGGACTATATAATAAAACAATTATAGGCTCTTTTGGGTTCGCCTCGGTCAATATGAATATTTTTCCGGTGAATAACAAACCATATTCAACACTTAATGAGACCATAATTGTATAATGCTGACTTGCAACATAATATTATATCGACTTGTCAGATACTTATGCCGACTTGTCAGAATAATATTTTGTCAACCGATGGACTAAATTGAACAATGACATATCTAAAATTTCACTTTTTAAAAATGTGACAAGTAAACACGTTGAAATAATTATCCAATAAAACACCACAAAGATTTGACAGTAGACATGATTACCTTATATGTGGGAGGAGGGAGAGGGGAGAGAAATATCTCATCATTGTAAATAAATGCATTTTTTTAGAATGAATTCTGTCATGTTATTAACTAATTGAAATATTGAAAGAAAATTTGCATGATTGTCGCTTTTTATATTGTAATATGTACGCAAGTGAGTTAAGGCTACGTAAAGAGTTTCAATGTAAAAAATCTAATTAAAACTCATAATTGCTCTACCTGCTACACGGAAAATGTTAAGACTTGTTTTCGTATATGTTCTTGGAAAAACGATATGTGATAGCCAGTGCACATTAATTTTAATATTATGACGTTTTACACGTACGACAAGTTTATAAGAAACATCAACAAAATCGCTTCGGCGCAAGGGCATACTTTACTTTGTTTTACAGAAACAAGGTATAAAAAGACGAAGGATATTCAAAAGATTTAAGATAGCGCTACACAAATGTCGACAGTGCAATTGTTTATTTATTATTTGTACAGTTTTATATAATAGGGAAAAAATTATAGGCTCTTTAGTGTAAGTTTCAT